TTTATTATTTATTATTAGTTATTTATAGTATATATATATATATATATATATATATATATTCTTAATATAATTATTAATTGCATTTTATGGATTTTTTGAATTTAGATATTCATAAATTAACATAATGAATATATAAACTGAATTTGATGTCGCTTAATATTATCGCTGCTCTTTTAAATGTGATAGTATTCAATATTTCAATGTGGATTGTGGACGATTGGAAATTTGCAATGAGGAATAAATGTGGGACAATAAATCGAGGCGTAGCCTAGTTTTTTATCGTACGATTTAAACTATTAGCTGTGCATATAAATGACGTATGTGTGATCGTATTGTCAATTATATATTATACATAAATTAATTAGATACACTATTAATGATCCATTATTTATTCCTGATTGTTTTGTCACTGTTGAATGTTATTATTCTATTAATTTCTTAAATTTATAATAAAATCATTATAATATTTAAAAATATTATTAGACTTCCTTGAAACTATATTCTTTTTGTAATAAAATTTCATAAGATAATTCGCATTTGCATTATATAAAAGTTATTTTCAGTGTGAATAACTATACATTTAATTTTGTATTCATTTTTTGTATCAATCTATTAAAAAATGATTATTAACGAATAATCATTTTTTATGAATATTTACGAATCACAGTTTTAATGCTATCCATCTGTGTCGCCATATGGTTTTTTTATCGTATTTTTTATTGCTTCTGTGCATACCTAGTAGAGATTGAATTTCTGCATACAGTGTATGCAAAAAATTTTTATTAAAATACTTTTAAACATTTATATATAATTTTTTTATTATATTAATTAATAATCATTACTTTTTATATTATATCATGTGCCTAAAAAATCCTATATTCTATTAAAAACTTTACTTTTAGGATATAATGTATGATATAAAGTAAAACATTCTTTTCTTTTTTTTGAAATTTCAACGGCATTTTTAATTTTTAATTATATATTTTTTTAATTATATATTACTTCCATAAATTTCTATCTGAGATTGGATATAATGATAAAGCAATATTAATAGCTTCTCATTCATAACATTAATGAGTAATCTAAATTATTATATCATTATAGTACAATTATAATATTACGTGATAATATTATAATATTATAATGATGATGTTGTTATTATTTATACAATCATCTACAAACAGACATTTATTTAATAAAATATCTTTTATTTTTAGCATGCATCAATTTGACAATTTTACATTATTAATAACATTCGAAAATTAAAGAATTGGAGATGTATAATTTAAAAGATGGAAATGAATTTTTGCATATCTATTATTTATGTATACATATTGTTTTCTTTAGCTTTATTAAAAGCTCACACTTGGCGACCGCAAGTATTGTTTTGAAAAAGCGAAACTTTGTTAATATTGGTAAATAATTCTCGTTTCACGACCACAATCTCTCACAGTTTTTCTGCAAAAGTATATTTAACAGCGCGTATGT